ATAATATTCTTCGAGTATTGTCAATGCTTTTTGATGAAAGATAAGTGCTTCATCATATTTTTCTTGTTGATCGAAGATCTTACCGAAACAACGGATGATAGTAGCAATAAACACGCTATCACTCATCTGTAACTTGCCAGTTTCTTCTATGTTTCCATATATTTCTAACCAACGTCTTTCGGTTAATTTTCCGTCGACGCGTTCAATTTTGTCTACCGTATATTTCGACGGGATTTGACGAGAAATTTCTTCGACGTTTTTAGTTCGAAATGATCGAAACCGCATTTGAAAGAATCCAGCTAAATTCAATAAAATCGGCCTGAAAGATGCGCGAACACGACTTAGTAGACGGCTACGTTGATGTATCATTGAATAGAGCTTATTGACCTTAGAAGAAGAATTTTCTTTTCGAATTGTCAATGCTCGTTCATAATAATCGCGAGCTTCTTCATATTTTCCTTCTGTATAGAGAATCTCACCAATTTTAAAGAGTATATAAGTTAAATCTTTGATTCGTGTTGGTTTGACACTTATTAATCTCTCATAAGCATGATCATAATATTTTCGTGCTTCAGTCCATTCTCCTTTCCATTGAAGAACATCACCAAGACTATATTCAACTTTTGCAAGATCTTCATTGTTATTATTCGATTTGCTTAATAAATATTCAAAGAAATATTGTGATTGATTCCATTGACCTATATCGCACATCAATCGTCCAAAGAGAATTTCAATGCTTAAATCTTCCATTTGTCGATGTGAATCTTTGATATATTTTTCTTTAATAATTTGACCATCATTCGATGCAGTCATTTCAATCAACCAAATTTCGCCTTCCATTCTTACTTTCTCCAATCGAAAAGTAACATTAGAATCGAAAAGAATTTCTTGTTGTTCATCATATGGAAATTCACTAAAATGAACATTGTCAACAATAATAACACTATTGTTCAGATGTTGTAGATCGATTTGAATTTGTAAGATAACAGAAATGAGTTCATTTTGTTTCGAAAGTTTTAATTCTTGTTTCAATGCAGTTGAACAAAAAATATTTGTTGAAAAAAAACCATTGATTGAAATTAATTTACCTTTGTTCTCTTTGAATTTCTCGATTTGATCCTTTGTTATTTTCATTTCACGATAAGTAAATAATATTTCTTTATCAGATTGAAGTAATTTTTGATGTTCTCGAATGAAATTTTCTATCAAATCTTTCATAAAATATCGAAATATGTGAAGTTGATCGAAGTCTTTGATTCTCAATGCTTTATTGATGATTTTATAGAGAAATGATTTTTTCAGATACCATTGAAGAGCTTCTTCTGATCGATGTTTATTTTTAAATTCTTCAATCATTTTCAATTCTTTGATATTATCACGATAATAGGAGCGACATACATCTATCATTTCTTGTTTAGCTTCTTCATCGTATGTTAACTGAAAGAGAACATCACGATAAAGTTGAAACCAAAGAAGATCAATAGTTTGTTTTGATAGATCTTTTGCCAAATATTCATCTTGATCCAAGAAGCTGAATGTTTGTAAATGTCGATAGAGAAAATGGACTTGTTCTTGGATTGATAAACATAATAGATCGAAGTCATTATAAATACCAATCAATTTTGAATTTGCAAGAACTAAATGTTCATGATCAACTTGTTCCCAATTGAAGATAAAGATACTGTCAATTTGAGATAAAATTTCAAGATGTGATGATATTTGTAATATATCAGAGATTGAAGAAACGAAGAAGATTTTTTCATTATCAATCGATTGAATAAATGTAATGCAAGATTCAAGTTGAGTATGAAATACAATATAATCATTAATTTGACGTAATTCTTTCTTTATTTGTTCTACATGATTATTGGATTCCATCTTTGAATTGAACCAAATTAGAGTAATGTCTTCTTTATTGCTTGTTCTATTCATCATTTCCAATGAACTTTTCAGCACAATTGGAACTTGTTGCAATAGATATTAAAATTAGTAAGATTAATCGTTCAATTGAAGTGTCAGACAGAAATTTCTATAAGAAAACAATCGATGTTAAATCTAGCCATAATGAAAACAAACTCTAAATTTTCATGATAAGAGAAATTTGTGAATGTCTAGAACACTCATCATGCCATTGGTATCGTGAATTCTCTTCAGGTCCGAGTGATGTTCGATCCGAAACATTCTTTCATATAGCTGGCTACGTAATACTGCTCGGAAAAAATTGACAACCGAAATGAGCTCTGTCAAATGAATAATCGTTCATGTTGCGATACATGTCTATCTTCTCATAAATCTTCCACTATATCATGGTGAAGTCACATTTAGAGCAATACCTAATCAGTTTTCTAAAAGCCTAATTTTACAATGATGACATAGTTTAGAAAAATAATAGGAAGTATGTTTTTGATAAACAAAAAGGTAAGAAGAACAAGTTTGAGAGTACGATAATCAAAGACTCAAGCATTTCGAACAATTAATGCGATCGTTACTATGAAACTCAGAATTTCAATAGAAATATTAGGGTGTGGGTGTGTGGATAGGTATGGATGTGGTTCTTCTTTTAACCCACACCCACACCCACACCCACCCACCCACACCCACACCCACCCACCCACACCCACACCCACCCACCCACACCCACCCACCCACACCCACACCCACACCCTACACATCCACACCCACATCCATACCCACACATCTACACTCACAACCACAGCCATACCCACACCCTCTAGTTGCCTTTTAAAGGCAACTGAATTTTAAAGTCAACTCCGACATACACATACATTGTCATGCATCAATGACTTTTCTATTACATATAAACAAACACTGACGTATATACTCGATTCATTATACGATATAAAAACGTGCGTTTCTTGTCTACTGTATAGTTGGTAAATAAAAAAAAGGTGATATTTCATAATAAGTAAGTGTAGAATGACAATATCTCAATTTCATAATTTTAAATTATGATTTTACAGTTAATCTGATAAATTAATCAAAGAATTCTATATGTCATTCAATCAAGACAGCATAGTTATGAAGCCGATAGAAATTAATGGTTATTAGTGAACTTATCGATCAAGTTATGTCTGAGAATGGATTTTATAACAGTTTATCCACTATGTTCATCTGCTACTTATTAGCATGTTTTAGAGTTGACGTCACTAGCGAAGTCTCTAAGATATTATTTTGCTTTCTAAATAGAACAATATTTCTTTCCTTTCTAACCCAAAATTCGAAATTGAAAATAGAGTTTGTTCATGTTTGCGATATGTTTGATAGTAATATGAAGCATCTTTTAAATGGACAATATTCTTTGAAATTTTATAAAAGAAAATTTATTTTTAATTGTTTTGTTTACCTTTGCAGTATATTCAAAAACAAATGGAGCCTAGTAAGTTCTTAACTGATAAATTAAAACGCGTGATAGAAATTGCTGATTTACAAATGGTTCGTGAAGCCTTAGTATCTCGAAAAGATTTAGACATCATATTAATGTGGTTTGATGAAATAATTGATAATAAAATGAAAATATTTTTTCAACAAATAAATGATCTTGCTTTTATTTTTACAAATAAAGAAGAATTTCTTAATTCAATTTCAACAGCAATAAATGAAAAAATTTTTATCATTTTATCTGGTTTACATGCTGATGAAATATTACCATTGATACACGGAAAAAATCAAATTGAAAAAATTTATATTTTTTGTATAGAAGAACATCAATACAGATATTTATTAGAAAATTATTCGAAAATAATTGGTATATTCACTAATTATAAACAAATGTTTGAAATATTACAAAATAATATACGTTCTCTAATTGGGCAAATGATTACATTTAATTTATTTAATCAAAATCAGAAATCATTAAAATATTTATCACAAGAATTGACTGATTTTCTATGGTATCAATTATTACGAGATTATATAATGAATATGTCGAAAGGAGATGATGCTAAACAAATAATGATTGATAAATGTCGTTTACATTATAATGGAAATCCTACTTATTTAAGGTATGTAGATGAATTTGACCATTCATATTCTTCTATCGATGCAATAAGATGGTATACAAAAACAGGATTTATTTATCGACTAGTCAATCAAGCTTTAAGAACTGAAGATATTGAAGCATTATTAGCATTACGTTTTTATATTACTGATCTTTGTGAATGTTTAACAAGAGAATATATTAATAATAGAGAATATTTCTCTGGAATAACAATTACATTATATCGTCGTTTAACTCTAGATGATAATCAAATAGATAAACTAAAAGAAAATATTGGTAATTTAATATCTACAAATGGTTATTTATCAACAAGCAAATCGTTTGATGTTGCTTCAATGTATGCTATGAATGTTATATTTGAAATAAAAATTGATACAGATTTAGATAATATTATTTTTGTTGATATTTCATCATATAGTATGATTCCGTCGGAAGAAGAAGTTTTATTTGATTTAGGTACAATTTTTAAAATTGAGAATGTAGAATATAAATCAACAATCAATAAATGGATTGTATCATTAATTGGAACTAATGAAAACGAATTATTAATAAATGATTATATAAAAATAAAGAGAGAAGAATTGAAAAAAAAAAGAAAAATATTACAAAAAGAATTTTTAATATTAAAAAGAGAAAATTTTATTGAAGGTGAATTTGGTTCTTTATTAATTGATATGGGTTTATATAGTAAAGCAATTCGTTATTTGGAAAATTTATTAATAAAAACAACATCTATAGAAAATAAAATTGTTATTTATTATTGGTTAGCTACTTCATATTTTCGTAACAAAGAATATCAATTAGCTTCGAAAAATGCTATAAATTCATATGATCTATGTATTCAATTCAATTCTAATTCATTAATTCTATCATCCATATTGAAATTACTAGGTCATATTCATGGTAAACAAATATTAAACCATAATCTTGCAAAGGATTATTATGAAAAATCATACGAAAAGATTGATTTTAATAATAATGAATATTTATCAGAAAAATATGATATTATGGGTCATTTATATATGTCACAATTTAAATATAGTGAAGGTATCAAATATTATAAAGCAACAGTTGGAATAGACGAAAAATTCTATGCACTTGATCATCCTGATATAGCACATAAATATTATAAGATTGGTTATGCATATTTTTATGAATATAATTTTAATATGGCTTTGGAATATGCAACAAAAGCATTAGAAATACAAAATAAAATATTACCAGATAATCATCCTGATTTAAGTGTATCGTATTGGTTAATGGGACAAATTTGTCGTAAACAAAGTAAATATGAATTAGCTGTACAAACTTATATTAAGGCATTAGCATTAAAACAAATGCTCAATCCTGGAGATTATTTCGAAATTGCAGGAATATATGAATATATTGGATATTGTTGTGATAGAAAAAAAGATTATGATATGTCAATAGAATATTATACGAAAGCAATAAAAATGTACAACAAATTGTTTCCAGCATTTAAAATTGTAGTAGCTAATATACAATTTGATATTGCATGGTTATATTTTATCAAAGGTAATCATGATTTAGCAATAGAATATTTAAACGAGTCATTATTAACAAATGAAAAAAAGGATATTATATCAATAGTAACATCATTTTATCTTTTCGGTTTATGTTATGATAAAAAAAACGAGTACTATAGTGCGATGATGTATTACAAGAAATTATTAGAATATTATGAAGAACAACCATCGCATAAGAAGTCAGCATTATTGAATATTTATCAAAAAATTGGTCGTCTTTATCAATATATAGGTGACTACAACTTATCTATAGAATATTATAATAAAGCAGCAATAATAGAAGAGAATATGATACCTAGAGAACCAATTGTACGGGCTTCTATAAATGAAAATATTGGAAGATGTTATCAAACAATAGAAGAATATGATAAATCTATCGAAAAGTGTAAATCAGCTTTGGAAATTTATAAAAATTGCTCTATACTTGATATTCCATGTAGTGAAACAATCCCTCAAGAACATCCTATGGTCGATCGTATAATTTCAGACTTTTATACAAGAGAAGAATATTTATATCCTGATATTCAAATTGAAATTATGTATTTATATAAAAATATTGGATACTGTTATATTAGAAAAGAAGTTCTTGATCTATCGTTAAAATATAATTTAAAATTTTTGGAATTATATGAAAAATATTCATCATTGGATGATTTATTAGTTGCTCAGACACATGAAGATCTTGCATGGATTTTTGAAAAATATCAACATTATCAATCAGCTATCGAACACTATGAAAAAGCACGTTCAATACGACAAAATATTGTTCCAATTGATGAATTAATGATTGCAACATTATATCATACTATATCATGGAAATATTATCATTTAAATAATTATAATGTAGCTATTCAAAATTGTGTTAAATCGGTTGATTTATATAAAAAATTATCAGAAACATGCTGTTTAGAATATGCTAACGCTCTCAATAGTTTAGGTCATATGTATTATACTGTGAATAATAATAAGGAAGCATTTGAAAATTGCACAAAATCAATGAAAATTTATATCGATAATAATGTATCATTTGATGATCATACAGCCATTGCAGATAATTTTGAAGCATTAGGAAACATTCATTTTATTAATGGTGACCAAACAATTGCTTTTGACTATTATCTAAAATCATTAGCACTATTAAGTCGAACAAATCCAATCAATCATAAAGATATGGAACGTGTTAAAAGTTTCCTCAACAATATCAATGAAATTGAATTTTAATTACAATTTACTTCCGTTTAATATCTTACATTATGAATAAATAGTCTTCTGGAAACAGAATCCGTGAATAGTTTTTAAGAAAAAAAAATTTGGTAACTTTATGATTAGGATATATAGTCTAAGAAACGAAAAACTATTTGTATTTGTATGCAGCGACACAAATAAACGATACCAACGTAATGAGTAAGCAGGGTGTGGGTGTGTAGCTAGGGTGGGTGTGGGTGCGAATCTTTTCTTTAACAAGGACCTACACCCACACCACACACCCACACCACACACCTACACCCACACCACACACCCACACCCCACACCACACACACCCATACTACACACATCCACACCCTGCATTCATTTGTTCTTTATCGTCAATTTTACTCTTTGGTTGTTCGATTCTATCAAATGCAGTGGTCTTCGTTTCATTAAAATACTGTGAAATCCGACTTCTTCAACCCTCCTCGAATTTTAATCCTGTGAAACGATTCGTCTCACACATAAATGGTTCGAAATGTGTTTCTACTCCTTTACAATCCAATTGCTACCTTAGAGAGCTTTTCCTCTAAGACAGAACTGTGGAACATTCATGTTAATCAGTAGTAACGTAAAAAATAGAATAAAATATTTATTTCACAGCAAACAAACGTCACCAGTTTCATTCAATTTAATCTGCAACCTTTGTCATATGTTGGTCGTAGGTGCCACTTCGTGTACTCACAGGACACCAGTGTTCAGCCCATTTTTTGTCCCCCGCTTTGAAGATGCCACCATTCAGCACTTTATGGTCGTCTATGTCGATGGTGAGATACTCTACATTGTTACGTGCTTTCGGATTTCTATATACCGCTTGGCCGTGGCATACTAAATTTGTTTTGATTGTGTATCCCAAATTCGTCGCAATCGCCAATCGATCATCATATGACATAGGCGTTACTGTTGTTCGAACTGTCGTTGTAGATTTACGAGTAGTCACTGAAAAATGTTTTAGTAGTGTTGTTTCTATCTGTTTCCATTCTTTCTACAACCAGCCAGGAGAGGGGAAAATTCCGATCGCACTGACTCAACCAAAGCAGAATGCTTTCCTTTTTGGAAGAGACTTTCTGACAAAAATTCCTTTTAGAGAAAATTTTTCTCGTCCGACCTCATGGTCAGATAAACGTTAAAAGTAAAATTTTATCGGTGCTGATTTACTCAAGATAAACCTAATCTGGTCGTACTTTTTACGTTTCCTCCATTGTGTGATAGGAGTCCGGCGTCTTCTTCTAAGAGAGCATGTTTAACAGACAAGTATCTCCATCATAGTGGAAATAGGTTTTGATAAGGTTTTGTACAATACCTTGACACGATGGATGGAGGATGACCAAAAGTAGGGACACAATGAGAATGAAGTAAACCATGATCGGGTTTCGCCTGTGTCACGAAATGAATCTTGTCGTTATTCCTCACTAGCACCTTTATATAAGCGGCTTCCTCACATGCAATAGATTTGTTGAAGTGTTGCAGAAAAAAAACAGAACCGGATACGTAACCGGTTGTTTAAAGAAAAGAAAGAAACAAAACCAATAAGAGAACGGTTATGGTGAATAACCATTTTGTTCTATTCGAAAAACTGGATGCATTTCAATACGCTTCATTTCATTGTGTTTCTTCTGCTAGTGTCGTAAAAGAACTAATAACATAAACCGTTTTCGGGGAAAGAAACGGTACAAAAAAGAGTCTGAGAAGAAATCGCAAATACAAACCAAGGCAAACATTTGCGCTAGTACAACGCAAATAAAGTATCCATAGAAAGATTGAGTGTAGTGAAGCGTTAGAAACGCGCCGCAAATGAATCAGTCTGTCAATTCCTTTCGCTTGGAAACGTCAAATATTGCTTCTCAAACCATGCATAAATGATCGATTACACGGCGCAAACGAAGGTAAAGAAATGGTTTGGATCGGATTCTTGTTTGTCTATCTACGTTCATCTAAATTCAAAAGACAAGAGCTCTTCTTTCCACGACGCCCCATGGCTGTAAACAGTTAAATAGGTACAATAGCTAAAGTTCATCAAGAACATTTAAGGTACATGAAGTTTACATATCTGTTTGATTACCTATACTTTGATTTGAAATTAAAAGGCTTTTTGTGTAATATGGAGTAGGATTATGCTTCAATTACTTAGATGAGAAATCTACAGAGAGAACAAAAAAATACAAAGATAATCAACTTCAATAATCAGTTTGTAGAATCCGTATCTTAGTGAACAAAACCATAGAGTTCATGACAGAAAAAATCGACATATTTCTGTACCCTGCATCATCCGCCGCTTTCCAAGAAGCAGCAGGCCTGGCTTACTGAACTCTCCCTTAGAGTGTTCTAAAAAAATAGTGGTTATGAAAAAAGGGAAAGGATGAGAAAAGAAAGCTATTAGACGGAATTTTTATCTACTGGGTTTATGTCCACATTTGTCGTATGATTTAAAAATTTGTTTATACATTCAAAATATCCATTCCCATAAAGCTGTGGTAAATCCTAGGTAATATTTAAGCTTTGTTGTAAAAAGATTTCTCGGCTGTGAAAGGGAAAACAGGTCATTTTTCGAACTGTTTGAGTTGAACATATGTAGGGAAATGTACACGATTGATGCAGGATTAGTTGAAAGAGATGTGACGAAAGTAAATAATTATCCTTCGATCAATTTTGGAAAAAAACCTTGCCGGCTGTATTCATCATTCTTCTGAATAGAAATCAACGACTTGGGTTTATTAGATACAGAAAGTTGAAGAAAGAGACGATCCTTGTATAGAAGGAATTGCTCATTTTTAAACGCAACTAAAGTGTCAAACATAGGAAAAGGCAGAATTTGTTTCTGAATATATTGAATGGATAATTTCGTTTCTGGTCTTGAAGTGATAAGTACCGATTCGGGCGGAAAAAACCGTATACTTTGATTATCACACCATTTTTGAATGGTAGTCTTTGTGGACTTACGAACTAACCATTATATCCATTCCTCATCGTTTCGACAAGTGACCGTATTGGAAAACGTTTATAATTCTCTGAAAGCAGAACTAATTTTACGAAACAGAATCGTCTGTAAGAAAAAATGATTTCATCTGTGAGTAGAAACCAGTGAAAGAAGTTCTGAGCAATGTTGCATAGCAAAGAAATACAATGAATCCACAAGAAAGACATGTACAGTGGATCATGAAGTTTGTTTTTTGAAAATTGGAGGTATTGCACAAACGATTTATAAAAGAATTTCTACTTTTCTTCTAGCGTTGGAAGATTGAATATATCGACATAATCCGATAGCAGCACCACTGCTGGCTCATTTGCTCTGTGTCACAATTGGTATACCGATATATGAAAAACAGAATACACTTCTGCGTTCCTATGCCGATTTTGCTGTCTACCTGCGTGTAGTAAGTTTAAAAATAATGGCAGAAAAAAAAACTCATATCGGCTTGGTTTTACTGTTCATTATCTGAGGCTACCAGAATTTTGTACATTAGTATTTGGGAAAGTAATATAGGACCGCTTTTTTTTGTTTTGTAACTTGTCTATGGATTGCTAGGAACATAGTCTCATGAATTTTTCAAAGAGGATGTATTTACGATATCATGCTTTCCAAAAAGCTGCTTACGTGCGATTCAGAAAAAACACCACGAATAAATATATATAATCTCATATGCTGAATACTAGAATCCAGCTGAGGATTGATAAATGTTAGGAAAGAAACTGCTTCTTCTCTGCTTCGTAAGACAAATGAGGTAGAAAATCTGATTCCACCTGTGTAAAACAATCTTAGAACTGAATGGTTTTTTTAGTAGTAGAAAGGAAATCAAAAAACTGTGATGACTATACCTATATGCCAAAGTTCCAAACATAGAGAGACTTGTTTTGCAGTTGAAGCTCATTTTCTTCTTCTTCTCGCTGTTTTCGCTGCGTTCTAAGAAGAAAAAAGAATGTATGGCGGCTATCTATGCAGTCGGTGAGTAACGTTTAGAAACTGTATATTTCTGTCCGTCGAGTTCGGAAAGAAAAAGGAGAGAATCTTACAGAAAAGAGAGAAATGGTCCAGCTGTCGAATCCGGTATGTGGAGGAATAACCGGTCTATGTATGGAGTACGTATTAAAATTAATGAAAGTAAATTTTTTATTTAACAGATTTTTGCGCTTCTGCCCTCTTTTTGACAACGGTGTTCAAGTTGCTTCGAGATTGTACTTATAGCCGGTAGAGTCGAGTCTTACCAACACTATATTAGGGTGTGGGTGTGAGTGTGGGTGTGGGTGTGGGTGTGGGTGTGTGGGTGTGGGTGGGTATGGGTGCGGGTGTGTGGGTGTAGGTGTGAGCATGATTGAAGAGTAGACATCCACACCCTTTTATTGTCAGTAGAATCATGAAAATTTATTATTGTAAACAATGAGTCACAAGTCCTAAAATGAACTGTGAATCATCACTTAGAGCAAAAAAAGAAAATAGTCGATGAAGTGCAGTTTGAGCACTCAGTTCATTAGCAAAATCACTTAAAAGTCATTCTACGTATAAATACAGGATGTCTCAGATATAACGTACCAAAAAAAAAATTTGAATATCTCCATTACGGCTCGAACAAACGAGCT